AAAGGCGAGTGCTGAGGTTAGGCTAGCTAGCTGCTGCCACACCATGAATGACTGCCTGTTTAAAAAAGCCTCTAAAAAGCGCCCTCTACTATGAGGCAGGAGAACTGCGTACCTCAACTACCTCGGGATTTTTTTAGGCTTTTAACCCTTGCTTTAACTCTGCTAAAAAGTCAGACTAGATGAGGCATGCAGTTCTCCTGCCTCATGGTAGAGGGCGCTTTTTAGAGGCTTTTTTAAACAGGCAGTCATTCATGGTGTGGCAGCAGCTAGCTAGCCTAACCTCAGCACTCGCCTTTTCCTGTTTACATTTTTTTTTTTGCTTTTTATGATTGACAGTGGTGAGGCTATGCCTCCCCTGCCTCCCCTGACTGCATGTAACTGTCCTGTCTAACCTTATGACATTTGTGACATTTTACTTTTTAAAAAAAAATAAAGACACCTTTTGAGAGTTGCAAGATTGGAAGCAAAAAAAGGAAGGAGCTTCTCCATACCCTTCAAAATATTTTAACTGCTGGGTTGATTTGAATGGGAGTCATCTGTGAGGCAAAACTGCTAGTTGGAAAATGTTGTCTTCCATCTTGGGATGTCTGAAGAAGGTCCTGGCGGATCTACTACCAGTAGAAGGAGAGAAACCACGTGTATAATGCCCCTTGTTTTTTCTTTCTTTGAAGGATACCAGACAAGAGAAAACATGAAATTCGAATTGGATTCTTTCAGCTGGTAATAGCATTCCTGGTCATCATTATTTTTCACATATTATAGCATGTTTCTTGAGACCAAGGCTCACAAACGTTTCTATCTAGTCCCACCAGTTCATCTGTCCAATCTTGTCGAATCTTGTCCAATCAAAAGAGAAACAAAAGTTCAGTTTTCCAAGAGAGCACTCTCTGTTATTATATTTATGAGGGCCACCTTGGTGGAGTTGAGGCATCAGGCTAGAAATTGGAGTTCTGGTCCCACCTTAGACAAAAAGCTATCTGGGTGTCCTTGGGCCAGTCATTTTCTCTCAGCCCTAAGGAGTCTATGCATACCAGTTTTGAAAAGCCTTGCCAATGATTTCTCCAGGCAATCTCTGAGAATCAGATACAATTGAACAGAAAGATACATGTATGTTTGTTGTATGCATGTATACACATTTTGCACAGTCTGTTAAGACTGTGTATCTAACTTAAGTTCCTATATCATCAGTTGTGAACTATAGTGTCAAATCAAGGTGGTAGAAGAGGAGAAGGGAAGCTCTTAACTTAATCAAACCTCAACATTTACAGACTGAAACCAGACACAAAATAACGATAGGAGTCTGGCCTGGAAAATGGTTTTCAGAATCAAAAGTGAAGTCATTTCACCACACAAAATCAAGTCTCTTTTCTTCCGTAAATATTTTAGCATCTGCTTCCTTTAGCAACACTTTACAGTTACAACAGTGATGAAAAATAAATCTTCACATTTACAATCTTTTGCAGGTCTATAAAGCAAAAGAAATCTGAAGATCATAAGCATAGTTGTGATTTCACTTAACAACAACCACTTCAGTTAATGACCAAAGTTGCATTATTATCTTTACAATTATCTATGCTGGGGGGATTTAAGTGAAAAAGTCCTCTGTTGCAAACTGAAGTTGGGACCTGTTACACCTGAAAGGATGCAATGCTACATTGTTAATAAAAATAATGGATTAGTAATATTGTAAGGTTCCAGCAGTTTCCCCAAGCCACTGAATTGCCAAAGAGAGTGAGAGTTGAGATGAGGCTTGCAAAAATATCAGCTTTTATTTATGGCCATAGCAAAAACTGGGCAGAGGTGGGTTCCTACCAGTTCGCACCTATTCGGTAGAACCGGTTCGTAAAATCTACCGAACCGGTTGGAAGAGGTTCCACCAGTGGACCCGGAAAGCAGGCCACACCTACAGAAGAGGTTCCAAAATTTTTTGAAACCCACCA